AGCAGGGGCACTGGCACAGCCGCTGCCTGAGCGGGGGTTGTGGCTCAGCTGCGTGGCTTCTGCTGTTGTCTTTGTAGCACAGCCAGGTTAGAAGTCAGCTGCGGTTCAGCTTTCTGGGATCAGGCCACGCTGCACTCGCTGCATTCCTCCTGCCAATGCAAATGGGAGCTGTGTTGTCCTGCCCCTATTGCTGTGGGCGCGTTCCATTGCACGCCGGGGAGTTGGGGGGGTGGCCAGTGGAGCCCCAGCAGGAAGTATGGCATGTGCAACGCTTGGGCATCCCACCCCTCCTGTCCCTTTCCCTTTTCATCCTCCTACCCAGGACTGACCGCACCAGGAGCATCTGGAAATTGCACAGTGCATTATCCAAAAAATTCTAATGGCCAATTAACTGACCCAGAGGGATCGGAGAATGAGAAGAAGCTGCCCATGTTAAGCTTTCCTTTGCCTATGCTGTCCTCCTCTTCTAGAAACTCTCCCCCAGCTGCCATGCAGGAGAATTCCAGAAAGAGGATACAGACAGGCACTTTTAACACTGAATCAAAGCCAGAAGAAAGGGGGAGGCCCCATAGGCCCACTCCCTGGATGGGGCCAATGCAGGGTTGTTCCCTACAGTCTGCTCTTTAGGGATTTGTCCGATGTATTTCTTACATCTCTCAGACAACAGGGACTTCCACTCCTTCACTTGGAGAGGCTGTTCCACAAATAGTTTGTCCTTCCTGTTGTCTGTGCCCACTCACCATAGATTCTAGGCATTTAATTTCACACATGTGCTCACCATTGAAGTGGAATGAGTGATGGAAAAAATTATTCATCGAATGCCTTGCGATCCCTCTTATAAATTATTCAGCAAATATCTTCATGAATCATTCCACCAGCTCTGTAATCTGGGTGAATAGTCAAAATGGTTTTGCTGAATTATTTATTGGAAAAATATAGTAACATTCATCAAATACCAAATTCTACAAATAATATTCAGCCAGGGACTTCATACAGGTGAAACCATCAGGGCAGCCATGCTCATTCTGTGAGGTTCACCTCTTGTTCTCATCTTTGGGGTGATGTCACTCCCTGAATTCTCCATCCCATCATTGCAGTGGGAGGATATCCCTGTCCCCAGAACTCTGCCTATTAGAGCAGTTTGGTTTCTTATGTCTGTGGTCAGTCCATTCCATTTGCCCTTGGCCGAGACTTGGATTTATGTCATTGCATCAATAAGACAAGACACGGAAGGTGTCACGTCCTGGTCCAGGCCCTCTGGAAGGAGACCACTCTGTTGTGAGTGGACCCGACAGCTGGATCCCACATGCTCCTAAGCCAGTCAGGTCTGGATAGAGCCGGGTCACTGTTCCAGGATCTGGGTCTCCAATTGCAGACCTTGTGCCTGTCCCCCTTCCTTGGGATGTGGTGCTCTGTAGCCCATCCACCTTACACCCCCAAAACCAGGACCTCAGCCCTCCTGAGGTCACCCCATTCCCTCAGAGTTCCACCTCACTATGGACACCCTGAGATTCTTGATTAGCCCCTTCAGAGACAGGCTAGCGAAGGAATTTCTTAACCACAGGCACTGTTCCTCTTAAAGAAAATGCTGGAGACTTGCAGATCTTTGAAAAACAAAAGGTCCTAAGATGCATCCTCCCGTTGTTTCATCTCATCAAATCACATGGCAACTGGCAGTTTACTCATTCTCAGTCAAAATTAGCATTATGAAACAATCCTCATTGTGTTGGAAGGGCAAGGAAATGAGAACAGGGGGAGTTGCTAACAGTTGGTTTAATGTTGTACAAACGGGTGCATCTGGTTGCGAATCTCTTCCTCTGATCTCCCACACAGCCAGTGTCGCAAATAACAGCACTTTGTCAGCGAGATGGCCAGCTGCCGCCAGCAGGAGGCTCAGAAATGCCAAATATAATTATAACATTTATTTTGAAATACAGTCTAGAGCTTGTTCCCGGTGAGATACGTGGTGCCTCTCACCACGTGAACCTGCCAACTGCCGGCCTGCACAAAATGGAAACCCTCCCCTGTGAGAAACGGACGGGAATCCTAACCCTTTTCGCTCTCACGGCACTCACAGGAGTCAGTCCTCTCCTGACGAGTGTTCAAATACTACGGGGCGATGCTGCTGTCACCAAGTCAAAATTGGGAAAGGGGAAGAAATCTCACCTATCCTTGAACAAAGTGGAAGGGCTGTTTCTAAAGCATTGCTCCTGTCTTAGCACATTCCATTAGTTCAGGTAGGGCATGAATCTCTCCAGGAAATCACAGCCCTAAGAGAAGTTCCAATTGGCTGAAGCATCAACTTACTACCAAGAATAAATAAACTAACTTTTTCTTCCTTTTTTCTTTCTCTTGCTGCCTGTGTTGGCTAATTGCAATTGGTCACGTAAGCCACGTGGGATTCTTATTCTCTGGTTGATGAGCACACTGCACTCGCATTCCCAACGTGACCAGTGGCTCTTTTCATCCACTCATTCATGCTACATCCATGCCGGTAAAACTCACTCAATCAAATATCCCCTGAAAGCAAAACAAAACGGTCACAAGTGATTCTAAGTGCAACTGAAGAGAGTTCATTTAAGAATCTGAATGAATATTTACTCAGCTCTAGCTCTGAGAGTCAGTACCGAGGACGAGGGCCAGATCCTCAGCTGGGGTACATTGTCATCAGTCCATTGAGTTCAATGTCCCCCATCTCCTCAGTTGTTTTAAGTCAGCATAGCTCTGCTGAGTTCAGTGGAGCTGTGCTGATGTATGCCAGACGAGGATCATGCCTGGAGTGGCCACTATGACTAGTAATACATAAGCTACTGCTGTCTCCAACCAAGGTATATAAATTCAGTCAAGTAGTTTCAGGGTTTAACTTCTCCCTATCAGCAGATACTAAGGAAAACATAATGCTAAGTCATCTTAAAGCAAGTTCAAAGGCAGAAGATTGCTATTGAAAGAGGGTTTATTTGAACCTTCAAAGAT